ATTATGAACTTAAAAAGATGATATGTTATAGATAATGTATATATGAAATGGACGAATAAAAATATTTGTGTTAATTGATTAATCTTTCTTGATATAAATAGTTATTGGTAAATAATGAATTAACTAAATTGATATATATTTCTCAAACGATGATTGATATTCTTTATGCAAAAGAAAAATGAGTATATTTGGTCATTATATTTCATATAGATCTACACATCCAAGTGAGATGCCTGTGGGATATCATAGAAAATTGATGATATTTCAATGTGATAAACTTATTAAATATTTTTAAATATTGATGATACTGCAATGTGATATGTTTATTGAATATCTTTGACAATTGTTGATATTTCAATCTATTGAACTTACTTAATATCTTTAAAGATAGGTAATGATTTTGATAACACCTCTTTTGGCTAAGAAATTTTTGTTTTATGTTTTTTTTATCTTATTTATTTATCATTAAGACATCAAAAAGGAAAAACGATTCCTTTTTAATCTGATATACCTTTTTAATTAATGGAAAGAAAAATAGGGAATCAATCTATAGTAGTAACGACTCCTTATGAGAGAAAAATCTTTGAAAAAAATTCTTTGTAATGAATGAATCTTATTCCCTTTCACTAGAAAAACTATTCTCATATCATTGATTAAATAAGAAAAGTTCTAGTGAGTAGTTTTCATGAGCTTTTTGAGATATTTTGTTGAATATAAGACAAAATTTCTTAGTTTTTACTTCTTCTTTAAAACTAAAAGAATAGGGAGCACATAGTAAGGAAAGAATCTTTCAATTTATCTTTGATGCTCATTTACATATTATATATATGTGCTTTGAAAATTGAGTCGTCCATGAAAAAGAGAGGAACTATCAAACTAAGACGATTGATTTTGATGAATGACAAACTTATTTTTGTATTAATGATATCAATTGAGTTTTTAAGTTTTCAAACATGTTGTAACTCAAAAAAGTAAAATAAATTATAAAAGACTATAAGAGCATCAATAAGAAGAGAAATAAATTGAAGGCTAAGTGTAATTTTTTAACTTACTTACCTTCTATGTAAATTATATAACTGAATCTTGATAGCTCATATTTTTATTTTTCACTCATGAATCCATTTGAAAAGTTTGTTTTTCTTAAAAAACAAATTTTTACTCTTTTTTTAAAAGGTAATTTGATTAAAAAAAATTTCTAAAATATATATTTTCTAATGGAGGTTTTATGTATAAGGAATTTCAAAATATAAGATATTTTAAGAAAATTTTAATTGGTGTCTCACTGGGGATGATTCTTAAAACACACAAATTAAAATTAGTTTGAGGTGCTGAGGGACGAGCATCAATAGATTCGATGCATCTTTTTCAAGCTTGACTAATGCAGAAATGAGTGCCATATGTGAAGTCATGAAGTTATCTTTTACAATAATAGTAGAATTATTATTATTTTAATACACTCTCCAAAATAATTATTGAAGTACACTCATAAACAACAATCATTTATTGTATCTAGTATAATTTGCACCAAATAAATAAAAAATCCAACAAGATAAAAAGAATGTTGATGAATTAACATATTTTTATATTTAAATATAAATAATATAGTACTTTACTATTTTATGAATAAGTTCATATATAAGTAAAATGTCAATAATATCATATACATATGTACGTACACAACATCACATAGACATGGAGATTCACGTTTTTTTGAAAGGTAAGAAATATATTAAAGATCTACTAAAACTCATTACATAGATATGAAGGAGATGCATCTCCCATGGCACATACCCAGGGAAAGTCACATAGAAGATAAAACAAAGAAGAGTCATGGCATACAATGTTGAATAGAAACGTAAAGAAAAACGAAAGGCAATAATGTTGGGCTTTGTCCAGCCCATGTGGAAATTAATAAAGAAAGAAAAAAAAAAGGGAAGGCTGCAATATTTGGGGGGAAACGGTTTTCACTCTCCCATATATGTGTATATATATATATATATATATGTAGAAATTGGAAAGAAAAAATGGCATTCAATTTTTCCTCTCACGCTCTTTCACAGAAATCGAAAAAAAAACACAACATTAAAAATTGATCCTCTCTCTCTCTCTCACGCATGTAGACCAAGAAGGGGATAAAAGCTTTATTTTCAGAGAAAGGAAAAGAAAAGCAAAACAGGTTTAAATTTGGTTCATCTCTACGTATGGTCACCAAGGAAAGCAAAAAATAAAGGGCTTGTTTGGTTACATGCACATAAATCGATATAGGGAAAAATATTACAAAAGTTTGGTAATTTTCTTTGGTATTTTTTAATCAATTTTTAGAGGATTATTGTCTAATTTCTTGTTGTGACCATTCAAGAGGAATCGAGTCTGGTTAGGGAAGAATTTATGCATTTTCTCCAAAATATTGTGTGCTTAATTACTTTGATAGTGGACTTGACTTGAAATTCGACCCGTCGTTTTCCCCTCTATACTAGAGGGTTTTCCACGTAAATCCTGTGACTCATTATTTTTGTGATTGGTACTTTATTTTCATTGGTATTGATTTTCAAATTGATTGGTTTAGAATTATAAATTGGAATTTGTGGATTAATTTTGGTGATTGCCTTAATTTACATAAGTAAGATTAGAATATTTAGAAAACATAACAAGTGGTATAAGAGAAAGGTTGATTAGTTTCTTGATTGATTTGTGATCTCAGTTAATTGTTTGAATTAGGATGGAGGAATTTGCTGGTACAATGATAAAATTATCTTTTTTAAAGTAGTTAATTTTGAAGTTAAGGATGAAAGATCTTCTTTATTCTAAGGATTTATATGATTCTCTTAAGTTAAGAACTGTTAAGCCAATGAGAAAATCAAATGATGAATGGGAAAAAATACATAGAAAAACCATAGGAACTATCCAATAATGGGTCGATAATAGTGTATATCATTACATAAACAAATAAGTGAATACATAGGTTTTGTGGAATAAATTGAAAAATATGTATAAGAAGAAAAATGCTCGGAATAAAACTTTTGTCATTAGAAAGTTTGTCAATATAAAGCTGAAAGGTGGAAAATTAATTGCAAAGCACTTGAGTAAATTTCAAGAGTTAGTAAATGAGTTGAATATAATGAAAATAACTCTAGATGATGAATTGCAGAAATTATTACTCTTGAGTTCCTTGCTAGATAGTTGAGAGATCTTAGTGGTGTCTCCTAGTAATTCTACTCTAAGCGATATTTTGTCTTTGTCTATGGTAATAGATAGTCTGTATAATGAAGATACTAGAAGAAAAAATATGGATATTAATACCTCATAGATCCTTGTCATGAAGAACAGGGGTAGAAGTAAAAGTAGAGATCCTAAAGGAGACAATAAAGAAAAATTCAGTTGTTATCACTACAAAAAAGAGGGGCATATAAAAGGAAACTGTAGGGTTTGGAAAAAGGAACAGAATAGTGAGACAAAAAAATAGATGATCAGAACACTATTGAAGCATTAGCTGAGATAGTGAAGAACTGTTTTTACTTTCATTTGTTGAGGATTATAGCCATGTCACTAATTCTGATACTGAGT